AGAGCCCAGGGCAGAGCCACAGAGATGCTGGAGGGAGGGGAACATCTCCCTGCTGAGGAAAGGCTGAGGGAGCTGGGTCTGTTGGGCTTGGAGAAGAGGAGACTGAGGGGCCACCTCATCCATGGGCACAAATCTGTTCAGGGCAGTGTCAGGAGGGCAGAGCCAGGCTTTGTGCAGTGATGTCCAGTGACAGGACAAGGGGCACTGGGTGCAAACTGGAGCACAGGAGGTTCCATGTGAGTATCAGGAAGAACTTCTTTGCTGTGAGGGTGACAGAGCCCTGGGACAGGCTGCCCAGAGAGGCTGTGGAGTCTCCTTCTCTGGAGACTTTCAAGACCTGTCTGGATGCCTTTCTGAGTGACCTGCCCTAGTTGTTTGTTGTTTGGTTCTGGTTTTTTTGGTCCTGCTCTGGCAGGTGGGGTTGGACTTCATGGTCTTTGGAGGTCCCTTCCAGGCCCTGACATGCTGTGATTCTGTGACTGGGAGCAACAGCCTTGGTGTGTCATTGGATTTCAGGAGCTTGCTTGTCTCTGCAAACCTCTCCCCTGGCAGTGTGGGTGAAAGCCTCGTGGTCCACAGTGTGGTCTTATCACCAGCTGGAGGAGTAATCTGCTTTAGATCTCCTTACTCGAGTTTCTTCCCAGCTATTGAGCCGTGGTTTTGTCTTTCCTGCCTCTGATGGTGGTGGCTGAGCCCCCCTGCTGCACGTCCAGCATGGTGGGGAGGCATGGAAGGTTGTAGGTACCTGCAGGAGGGACTCCTGGGGTACTCAGAGCCACGTCTGAGCCATCAGGGCAAAGCTAGAAGGCTCAGACCCATCTCTAAATCCTGATTCTTCCCTCCCTTTTGGAGGGAAAGGGTCAGCTCATGTCTTCTTCTGGCCTCCTCAGCAGACTTGGGTTTGGTTTTCCTCTGGCCCCAGCCCCTTCCCTGGACCTACCAGCACTAGATCCCTTTAGAGACTAACAACTCATGGGGATGGGGGGTTTCATTACTGCCAGCTTTGGGACAAATCCGGAAGTTGGTGAATGAAGCTAAAGCTCCTTTCATGGTCCTCCTACCCCTCCAGACACTGGGGGAACTGAAGTCCCTGCCAGGAGCCCTTTGCAGGAAAATTAGGAAAAAAATTTTCCCAGAAAGAGGAAGAGTGTTCAGACCCTGGAACAGGCTGCCCAGGGAGGTGGTGGAGTCACCATCCCTGGGTGTGTTGAAGGGTGGTTTGGATGTGGTGTTGGTGGATGTGGTTCAAGGGAGAAGTTTGTGGAGCAGGGATGATGGTTGGACTGGGTGATCCACGGGGCTTTTCCAACCTGGATGGTTCTATGATTCCATGATTCCTTGCCTCTGCTAACGTGGCTCCTGCTCCACTTTGGTGACACCCACAGTGACAGCCCCACTCACTGTCTTTCCTAAAACCAGGTCGCCCCATGGTTGCTGGGGCAGGAAAGGGAAACTAGGCAGGGTGACCAAAGGGAAGGAAATGGTGACAAATGCCCCCCCAGTGCCTCACACAGGCAGGATTAGAGAAGCAAGAAGAAAAATCCTGCTTCAAATAAGCAATTAATTGAAATTTAATAAGAATGGGTAGTTTAGATTATTAAATAATAATTGATTGTTAGATGAAAATTCCTCAGGATTTAAGTAGCATGCAAGAGATAAATGTGGTTGCTGGTAATTAACTGCAGAGGAGAAAAATCCTGATAAAAGGCTGCTGAATGCTTCCTTTTGGGGTGAGGTTTATTTTAACCCTTGCTGGTGGCTCCTGGCCCAGCCTTGGATCAAGCACTGGCTGGACAGTTGGGCCCAAAGAGGGGTGGTCAATGGAGTCAAGTCCAGCTGGTCACAAGTGGTGTCCTCAGGGCTCAGTGTTGGGATGTTCCTGTTTAACATCTTGTTGATGATCTCAATAAGGACACAGAGTTTATCATCAGGGAGTTTGCAGATGACACCAAGCTAGGCAAGAGTGTAGGGTGAGAGCCCCTAGCATGAGGACAGGGAGGCTCTGCAGAGGGACTTGGATGGGTTGGATCCTTGGGCTGATGTTAATGGTCTGGGCTTCAACAAGGCCAAGTGCTGGGTCCTGCACTTGGGCCACACTAACCCCAGGGAATGCTCCAGGCCTGGGGAAGTGTGGCTGGAAAGTGTCTGGCGGGAAAGGACCTGGGGGTTCTCATTGAACATGAGCCAGTGTGTGCCCAGCTGGCCAAGAAAGCCCATCCTGGCTTGTATTAGAGACTGGTGAGGCCACACCTGGAGTGTTGTGTCCAGTTTTGGGCACCTCAATTCCAGAGAGACCTCGAGGTGCTGGAGCCAGGGCAGAGGAGGCAACGGAGCTGGGGAAGGGCCTGGAGAATCAGTCTGATGAAGGACACTTGAAGGAGCTGGGAATGTTTAGTCTGAGGCAGAGGAGGCTGAGGGGAGAGCTCATCAGTCTGTGCAGCCACCTGAAAGGTCATTGCAGAGGTTGGTGCTGGTCTCTTCTCAAAGGTGATTAGTGACAGAACAAGAGGGAAGGGCTTCAAGCTGCACCAGGGCAGGGTCAGACTGGACATTAGGAAGCATTTTTTCCCAGGAAGAGTGGTCAGACCCTGGCCCAGGCTGCCCAGAGCAGGGGTGGAGTCCCCATCCCTGGAGGGATTTAAAACCTGGGTGGATGTGGTGCTGATGGACATGGGCAATGGTGGCCTTGGCAGGGCTGGGTTAATGGTTGGACTGGATGATCTTAAAGATCTTAAAGGATCAAAACAATTCTATGATTCCAAGATCCTGTGAACTCCTGGTGCAGCCTTCCCTGGCTGGTTTGGTTGTTAATATGGTCTTTCCTCTTCCTCATTTCCTGCAACTTGTAGGAACTTTGTGTTCATGAGTCTCCATGTTAAATTTGATTGAAATAACCAACAAGTTTAAATATGTGGAGGGAAGAGAAACCCCAGAGGCATGGACAAAGCCATCTTGTGAACCTCATTTTATTAGGAAACTGGGCCTGTTGGTTTGACTTGATTCATAGGACCTACTCTTCCATATTTTTAACCCAAACCGGATGTGAGTCAAGTTTGACAATCAATCCTTGGGCAACGCAGCATAAGCTCGTCTCATGTGCCCTGAGCAGCTCTCCTGCCAGAGTCCCCCTTGTCCCACTGCTCTCCCATGGAGTCAGAGAAGAAAGTCTTGGGACCATTCCCAGGAGGCTGCTCTTGCTCCTGGAGCATGCAAGGGAGCACTGACCCTGTCCCTCTTCTCTGGCAGATGACTACAAGTCTGAGCTGAGAGAGCAGCTGCCCTTGATCGCAGGGTCTGCAGCAGCTGGGGTGGTCTTCATTGTCTCCCTGGTGGCCATTTCCATCGTCTGCAGCAGGTGGGTCCCCTGTGGGATGCTGCCACCCTGGAAATGGGAGGGGGTGGATTTGGGGTGGGAGGGGAAGGATGGGGAACCTCAGTGGCTGGAGAGGGCGCTGAGCTGTTGCCGCTCCCCAAGGGCTGCTGGGGTTTGGTTTTCCAGGGGAGCAGGTCAGGGCTGTCACCAGCCACGTGCCCCTCAAGGCCAGTGTTTTGTCCCCCCTTCTTCCAGGAAGCGTGCCTACAGCAAGGAGGCCGTGTACAGTGACAAGCTGCAGCACTACAGCACTGGGAGAGGTGAGTCCAGGGAAACCACACGTCCTGCTCCCCACTTCAAGTGCACCCAGTGTGGGATGAGAGCCCCACGGGCACGTGGAGAGGGAGTGGGGGTGTCCACAGCTGCCATCTGGGGGGGTTTGCTATGGTACAGCCTTGGGGGTGGGAGAGGAAGAGCAACAAGGGGGATTTGGGGGGATGTAGGGAGCAGAGGAGATGCAGGGGGACAAGGCAAAGGGAGAGCACGCTGGGCAGACTCCCAGAGGAGGAAAAGGAGGTGAGAGGCAGGGTGTGGAGCAGGGATGAGCTCCTGATCTCCTGCCACAGGCTCTGCCCAGGCCAGGGTTGGTGCTGAGCTGCTCTTCGCCCCTAAAGGGACTTGATTTCCGTGCATGGCTGGGGCTTGGGGGCTGGTGGCCAGCACTGTCCTGACCCTGGGGCTGATGGTTGCTCAACTCCAGGAAGGATGTGTGGCCAGTGACTGGGAAGATTCAACTGGTTTTGGACTGCTGATCCCCTTGGCAAACACCTAGTGGGGTCTGAGCTTGGTGGGCCTTTTCCTCAGACACCTTTGTGGTTGGTGCATCTGTGGACCAGAATAAAATTGAGGCATCTGTTGTGTATAAGGTGGACTCAGGTGCTCCTCCAGCTCCTGGTAAAGCAGCCAGAGGCCATTGTGGTCACTGGGACTTAAAATAAAGCAGAAAGCAGCAGCTCTAGGGGGTGAGGAGTTGCCCTCTGATGCCCACCGGCTCCATGCCCTGTCCCCATGGGATATAGATCCCATCTACTCTCTCCCAGAGATGCCTCTTTGGTGCTTTTTGCTGCCTTGCAGGAAGAAACTGTCCCCATATCCTGGGCATCTGCCTGGGGAAAAGTGATGTTGGCAGGATGTGGGGATGGGCACTAGACAAGGAAGGAGGGAGGGATGGAGATGGAGCTATCAGCCTGGCAGAGAAAACAGGAGGGATGACTGGGAAGGAAAGGGTTTGGAGGCAGGCAGGAGAGCCCAACCAAGCTGGTAACACAGCAAGATCTCTCTTGACCTTCTCAGCTTCATCCCACATCTTCCCAACATGATGGTGAGGCTGTGAGGGGCCATAAACCTCCCAGCACATGCTGAATTGGTTTCCAAACATCACCAGGTCATGCTTACATCCGACAGACCTGTGCTGTTCCTCCCTCTTTGCCTGTCTGCACCATGAGTGGTGGGGAAAGATGTGTTTGATGCCTGATGGCTAAACCCTTGTTGAGCTGCAGCTGGACTGCCACAAGCTGGAGCATGGGAGCTTGTTCAAGCTGAACAAGCTGCCCAGGGGGGGTGTGGAGTCTCCATCCCTCCAGACATTCCAACCCCACCTGGATGTGTTCCTGTGGGATCTGCTCTAGGGGATCCTGCTCTGGCAGGGGGTTGGACTGGATGATCTCCAGAGGTTCCTTCTAACCTCTGCCATTCTGGGATCCTGTGACTTCTTCCCATTTCCCCCCAGTTTTGAGACATTCCCCACCCCACATGCACCCCTGGCTCAGCCCAGCACCCAGACCCCAGGGTAGGAGAGCACTGAAATTGTGTCTGTGCTTCGTTTTCAGAGCTGGGTGATGGGAGAGTCGGGGGGGAGGGAGGTTCTGGGAGGCTCCTGGATGTGCAGGAAAACCCTTTCAAGGTCAGCAAGCCCTCTGGGTGCTCTGATGCTGGAGCAAAACAGGTGGAAAATTTGTGGTGAGCAACTAATGGAGTAACAAGCACATCTGCTGGAACGAATCATCCCCGTGTTCAGCCATTGCAGCTGCCCAGGCGCGGCTCCCTGGGACCACCAGCTGCTCTGCTGGTGGGGGCTGTCCCGGGGGGGTTGGGGTGAGCTGGAGGCTCTCAGGTTGTCCCTTCTCATGCTTTGTCTCTGCCATTGCTTCACTGGGAGCTCTCAGAGAGCAGTGGCAGCCGTTGGGCAGGCTGGGGTTTTCCTCTTCCCTGATGATATTTATTCCCAAGGAAAAATGCCGTCGGAAAGAATGGGAGGCTGAGGTGGGGGTTGCAGGGTGCTTCAGCTTTCCAGCACTGATGGGAAAAATTGCCCTGGGCTACAGTAGTGATCAGTGGCTTAATCCTTTTTCTCTTGAGTTGGTGTTGAGGGCAGGCAGCTCTCCCAGGCAGGCTCAGCACCACTTGCCCGTTCCTGTGGACATTTGGCCATGGTGGCCGTGAGCAGCCAGGGGCTGAAGTCTGGGGAGATGAGTAATGGGGTTTGGTGTCCTAATCCCACTCCTTTGGGTGGGCTGGGGATTAGGGGAGAGCTGCACCTGGGCTTTACTGAGCCCACAGGCAGATCCCAGGGCACTTCAGAGGGTGTTTGAAGAGCAGCCGTTGTCAACAGTGGGCAGGAACTTGGGCATGATTGTCGTCTTTATTCCTTCAGCATTTGGATCAGTGAGTCAGTCTCGGTTACGATCCTGTAAATCCCTTTGTAATCCTGGCTGGAGCATCAGCTGCTCTTGTGAAAAAATTTATGGGGCAGTTAAAGTGGATGAGACAGAGCTGTAAAGGGATTTATGAACTGGGAGATGCACAGATGGCTTCATCACAGCCTTCCTCGCCCGCTCCAAGGTGCAGAGCTTTGCCCCAAATGCCCCTTCTGGGGATGATGATGCTCCTGCCTGATCCCTCTTGGATCTGGGGGAGCCACTCTTGGAGTGCTGGGGGGTCCTGCAGGCAGGTCTCCCTTGGTGGCTGTTCTGCACCAGCAGTGCTCTACTCCAGCCTTGCCTACCCCCTCCCCAGTTACCTGCTGGTAAACTTGCAGAGTGGCCAGGAGCTGATTTAGTTTCCCAGTGCAGAGCTGAGGATGCTGTGGTCCAGGTGTTTGTGCCTTGGCCCTGGAAAGGCCCTGGGAAGAAGCAGCATGAAGGGATCGTGGTTCTCAGTGGGGTCCTTCCCAAGGCAACTGAACACTGTTTATCACTATAAGGGTGAGGGACCCTGAGGAGGAGGACCAGGCAACCCTGTCCCTCCTGTCTCCTCCAGAGATGACCTTGAGGGGCTTCTACACCATCCCTGCTCCCCTTTTTGGGTGAGAAATGGCACGAGGCGGGCCTGAACCACCGCAGGGGGACCACAGCCCTTTCTGGGTGCCCCATGGGGACCTCAGGGTAATGCTGGTGTCCTGCCAAGCCCGGGGGGTGGCCATGGCCACACTTTGTCCCCAGCAGCTCTGCCAGCCCCAGGGCACTCAAACATGACACCTGCAAATCCCACCTGGGGAATGTGCGGACCTGTGTTGCTTTTTGTCCCCCATTTGAAAATCTTTCTCCATCTCCCTGCAGTGTGGCCAGTCCTGCTGCCACACGTTGTCCCCATGCAGGGGAATGACACTTGTCAACAAGGTTGGCCAGGCTCTATGTTATGGCTCCAGACAGGCTGTTGGGGATATTTGTCACGCTCGGTCCATTTAGTAGCAGCCACAGAGCTACCAGAGGCCTTTTTTGGGTAAATAAAATAGTTTTCCACCAAGGTGTGGAGCCAGGGGAAGGCCTCACCATAAAGGCAGCTCGTTGTTGTTCAGGTCTGGAACTGCTCCCCGTGGCAGTGGGGAGGATCAGGAAGGATAATGGCAGAGGGCAGAGAGGGAGAGGAGGGGACTCAGGGATGTCGGCAGGAGTGGTGGGACCAAAGAGCATGATATAGGTCTGTGGAGGTGGCACAGATGAGCACAGTGATAGAGGGTGTGAGGACATGGGTCTCCAGCTCTTAGCTACGGCCCAACGGCTCTTGGTTTCTCTCCCTTTTGCCGTTGGGCACATCTTTCCTGCAACAAGGGTCTCCAGGGATGAAGATCTACATCGACCCCTTCACTTACGAGGACCCCAATGAAGCAGTGCGGGAGTTCGCCAAGGAGATCGATGTGTCCTTTGTGAAGATTGAAGAGGTCATTGGAGCAGGTGGGTCTCACCAGCCCCCCCTCCCCGCCCTCTCAGCCATTCATGCCTGGCCACATAACCCCTGGAGCCACTTTCTGGGGGTGGACCCATGGTTCTTCATTGGGAAGTCCTCAGGAGAGCCTTGATGCATTAGGCTTTCCTGGGTTTGTGATGGGTTAAGGAGGAGAGGGGGTTGGTTTCTGCTCTCAGAGTTCCTCTGAGGTTGGAAAGGCTCCATGAATGTATTTGCTGAGTGACCATGAGGCTTCTTGGCATTTGCTAGTTGGCTTTTCCATGAGATGACAAGAAAAAGCCAGAGCTTTTTTTTTTTTCCCCATGAGAACAGTCAGACATTGGATTTATCTCACAAGGGAAGTGGTGGATTCCCCTCCATTGGCCAGCTTTAAGACTTGACAGGTGCTGGGCCACCTCATTTCAACTATATTATTACCTGTGAAGGTTGGACCAGGTGATCTTTGAGGTTGCTTCCAACCTGGCATTCTAGGATTCTAGGAGTCTGTCCTCTTGCTGTGCAATTCCTTCTGGCAGGGGTTTGCAAGAGCAGCCCCAGCCTCTGCTTCTGTGGCTGTGGGGCTTCTTCGAGAAGCTGGCAAGCCCAAGGGTGTCCTCAGCAGCAGACATTGCCCCTTTTTTGCCCCTTTTTCAACGGGTCAGGCGAGTGGGTTGATAGAGGAGAAGCATCACTGAAGTGTTGGCTGGCTGGTGTTTCTCAGTCGGTTGGTCTGGAGACCGCGCAGCTCAAGGTGCTCGTGCTCTTTGCCACGCGTGGTGGGGAGGGTGAAGGTGGTAGCAGGTGCTCTCCCACTTGGCAGGGGAGTTTGGAGAAGTTTACAAAGGCCGCCTGAAGCTGCCTGGCAAGCGGGAGATCTACGTGGCCATCAAAACCCTGAAGGCTGGTTACTCGGAGAAGCAGCGGCGGGATTTCCTGAGCGAGGCCAGCATCATGGGGCAGTTTGACCACCCCAACATCATTCGGCTGGAAGGGGTGGTCACCAAGAGTCGGCCGGTCATGATCATCACGGAGTTCATGGAGAACGGGGCCCTGGACTCCTTCCTGCGGGTAAGGCCAGGTGGGACCAGCTGGGCTGTTGGTCAACCACGGGATCTGGGAGTAGGGCATCTCGTCCTGTAGATCCCAGCTTGTTCCCTGGGGAGGTGGTTGCAGTGTGTTCCACACCCCCAACACCCCCCCGGGGTGTGGTGCTGGGGTTCCTCTGCTTTAGCCAGGCAGGACTGGGTGAGCTGTGTCCTCTGGGGAGGTGCAGGGTCCTCTGGAGGCTGGATGAGCAGCTCTGGTCCCACAGAGGGGTCTGCACCTTCACACCACCCCCCATTCCCTGCCTGCTGTTCCCCACGGCAGCAGAACGACGGGCAGTTCACAGTGATCCAGCTGGTGGGAATGCTGCGCGGAATCGCCGCCGGGATGAAGTACCTTGCGGAGATGAATTACGTGCACCGAGATCTGGCTGCCAGGAACATCCTGGTCAACAGCAACCTGGTCTGCAAAGTCTCAGACTTTGGCCTCTCACGCTACTTGCAGGACGACACGTCTGACCCCACCTACACCAGCTCCTTGGTAGGTACATCTCACCCGTGTTGGTCTTGCTGGGCAGCCCCTGGCCTTGCCCTGCACCCCCTGCCATCCAGAGCTGGGAGAAGGGTGGTGGATGTACCCCCCACAGCTGCTGCAGCAGGTGGGAGCATCTCAGGAGGGTTTCCACCACATAAGCTTGTGACCTGGAGACCCTAGCTCTGGTTCCCATCCATCATCCTCTTCTCTCTCCTTTCTCTTCCCCTCTTTTATGAACTTTCTGCCTTCCTGCTTCCCCAAACACTTTCTGCCCTCAGCAGTTGCCAGAGAAGCCTCTTCCCTCTTCTCCATGAAGGAATGGGGCATAGAGGAGTCCCTTGAGAGACTGGGAAGGGGTGACAGGGGGATCACAGCATCTCCTGAAGACACAGCCATGGCATTTTAACGCCCTTTCCTCCAGCACTCCAGCTCTGCTCTGCTGTTTCCTGCTGGGGACTTGTTCCAGGCATTAATTAAAGAGACAAGCCCAGCAGGAGCTCTGCTGTTACCCAGCCACCCTCCATGTCCCTAATTAACTTGTTGGTAGGTAATGGCAGCCCCACGGTCCCCTTGCTGCCCTGAGGGACCCCCAGGAGGAGAAGGGGGGAGCACTCTGTTGATACGCTCAATTCAAAGAGTGTGTGTTGGGTGTGACCACAAGGCTGCACCTCACACAGAAGCACTTTCTTGGGCTGTCTAGCTGTGCCCAGGCACTGGGGCTGGCTCCAGCCTCCAGAACGGGGAACCCGTGGACGTTGGGTCCATGTTGTGGCTGCCCCATCCCTGGCAGTGTCCAAGGGCAGGTTGGATGGAGTTTGGACCAACCTGGGCTGGTGGGAGGTGTCCCTGCCCATGCAGGGGGTTGGATCTAGATGATCTGGAAGGTCTCCCAACTCAGACCAATCTGGGATCCTGGGATTCTATGATTGTATGACCCAGTGGGCAGCTCATCACCAGCATTCTGGGTACCTGGTTTAAAACTGGGAGAGGGGAGATTTGGGTGAGACATGAGGAGGAAATTCCTCAGTGTGAGGGTGGTGAGAGCCTGGCCCAGGTTGCCCAGGGAAGCTGTGGCTGCCCCATCCCTGGCAGTGTTGCAGGGCAGGTTGGATGGGGCTTGGAGCAGCCTGGGCTGGTGGGAGGTGTCCCTGCCCATGCAGGTGGGGTTGGAACTAGGTAGTCTCAACCTTCCAACCCAAACCACTCCATGATTTTGTGCCTGTAAGGCTGACTAAACCTCCTGGCTGGGCTGCAGCCCCTTGTTCTCCTCCCCTGTCCCTGGGATGTTTCCCCCTTGCTGGGACCTGCCCCTCTCCCTGCCCACCCCTTCCTGCAGGCCCCACTTTGAACAGATGCCCATCCATCATTTCATTTTGACTCAAAGACCCCAGCTTTAGCTGCGGGGATGAGGCATGAAGGCCCCTTTCCCCACCTTCAGAGTTTAAAGAGATTATCTCATCTGTGGTTTTATTTAATTTAGACCATAATAGGTCTCCCCAGCAGCTGGGAAGTGATGCTGTGCCTGCCATTACATCACTCTGCCTCCCACAGCAGGTTTTCAGCTCTGGGGAAAAGGCAGGAAAAACAACCTTAGCAGTTAATTTCTCCACTTGTAGTTACTCAAATGAAATTTTTGGCCATTAATCCTTCAAGAGCAGCTGACTCTTCATCAGAAAGGCTGCGGAAAACAATCGCGCTGAGCGATTTACGGCGCGGTTCTGCCCGCAGCAAACCTGGTGCGGGGCTGAGGTTGCCCTTCACCCCTTGGCTTTTGGGTTTTTTTCCTGCTGTTTTTAGCCATGCTTGCCCAGGGAGAGGTCCCTGCTGCCCCTCTGTAGCATCCCTGCCCCCCCTGGCACAGCCTTCAGCCCTTCCTGTCCTGCTGGGGTGGGGTGGCTTGAGATGCTGAGCACGATGGGAACGATGAGGGGCTCTCTGCCAAGTCTCCTCTGGGGCTTAAAAGGTGTTTTGCTTTTTGCTTCCCAACGGTGGGGCTGGAAGGACCTTCTAGCAGCTGTGGGAGCCCAGATGGTGCTATGGAGGCTGCTTTTAGAGTAGAGCCTGTTTGCACTGAAGGCCAAGGGGCAGGGATACCTGTGGCTCCTGACCTGAGACGAGTGCTGGCGCCGTCCTGCATAGCCCTTTGTCACATCGTCTCTCCCTGGGAAGGGACATGAGGCCTGGCCACTGATGTGCCAGGTCCTGCATGGCAGCCCATGTGGGGAGGTGACATTGGTGGGTGGCACCTGGGTGGTGGAATAAACCCTTGGATAAGCCCTTTTATTTGGTTTAACTAACCCCGTTTGTGCAGGTACAAGATAAATTTGTGGGTTTGGGCTCCCCCTGCCCGCTCCTCAGCAGAGTCCCCAGGTACCAATGGCCAGGTGTGTGTGGGGTGGCTCCAGCCCTGGCTGGTGGGTGTCCAGGCTCCTCTGCCACAGGAGATGTTCCTCAGCTGCTCTCCCTTCCTCCTCAGGGGGGGAAGATCCCTGTCCGGTGGACGGCGCCGGAGGCCATCGCCTACCGCAAGTTCACTTCGGCCAGCGACGTCTGGAGCTACGGCATCGTCATGTGGGAGGTGATGTCCTTCGGGGAGAGGCCCTACTGGGACATGTCCAACCAAGACGTAAGCACTGGGGGGTCATCCACGCAGCTTGGAGGGGGTGTGGGGGGTTCATTTCCAGGAGGAAGCCCTGCCCAAATGGCTCTCTCTGCTCATTGGAGCTGCAGCAGCGCTCAGGGCTGGAGATGAGCTAGGTTGGTGAGCGGGAGGATGCGGGGAGGGAAAGGGGGAAGAAAAGCCAGTGGGCTGGTAATTGGGCTTGAGCTGCAGGGCCTTTGATTTGGGAAAGAGCTTTGGCAGTCGGACTGTTGTACTCCGAAGTGTTCTGCCGGGGTAATGAGTGGCAGCTCTGTCGGGAGGAACTGAGCCAGCAAAGCTTCAGAGTGGAGATTAACCTTGGAGAGCCCCAGCTCCCTCGGAGCTGGGAGTGTCTCCTCCTTCTCCTTTGGCTGCTGATCAGATGGGCTGGCAGCTGCTTCCCCAGCCTCCCTTGCACGGGCAGCTGGGGCTGGAGTGTCCCTTCCCACCACAGCTGTGCTTCTCCCTGTGTCACCCTCATCCTCACGTGCTGCTTTTGTGTGTCCCCCGCTGCCCGGCAGGTCATCAACGCCATCGAGCAGGATTACCGCCTCCCACCGCCCATGGACTGCCCTGCTGCCCTGCACCAGCTGATGCTGGACTGCTGGCAGAAGGACCGCAACACCCGCCCGCGCTTCGCCGAGATTGTCAACACCCTCGACAAGATGATCCGCAACCCGGCCAGCCTCAAGACTGTGGCCACCATCACCGCTGTGTGAGTGTTCCCGGCGCGAGGGAACGCGTTCCCGCTGGCGGCGGAACGGGTTGCCTGGGGGCACTGTCCCCGGAGGTGTTCAGGGAAAGGCTGGAGGTGGCACTTAGTGCCGTGGTCTGTCTGATGTGGTGGTGTCAGGTCACAGGCTGGACTTGATGGTCTTCAAGGTCTTTTCCAGCCTTCCTGCCTTCCCCAAAGTGCAGCCACAGGGCTGGAGAAATTCTGGATCATCTTTGGGATGGAACAGAATCTTGGCTTTGATGGTTCAGCCTCGGCCAGAGGTGTGGCTGCATTTTTTTGGAGCTGGAGGAGGTTTTTGGCAGCTTCTTCGGGGAGCCACCCCTGGGGGCCCCTTCACCTCTACCAAAACCACACCACAACCAAACCAACCATCACAGGGAGGAACCAGGGGCCCACAAGAGCAGAAAGTGTTTACAACTCATCTGGCTCATTTGCATGGCTCAGTTGCAAAATCATTTACCCTGGAGTTGCCTGATGAAGCAAATCCCAGGGTGGGTGGGGTGTCCCCAGCCAAGCCCTGCAGAGGATTCCCAGGGGCAGGGAGAATGGCTTGGGTTGGAAGGGACCTTAAAGATCATCCAGTTTCAACCTC